AGAAGAACTGAACATCTTCCTCCTGAATACCAGCTCATCTCAGTGTATTTAAAAGGTATTATTACTTCTTTTATATTATTATTCTAGCTTTATAAGAAGAAGTTTTTGGTTTGAATTTTATGAGTAAAGTTTGGCGCAGGTGTGGATCTGAGGATGTCCTGCGGTTGGTTGTTCGTGCTGTTCTCTCATGTGCTGCTGTTGCTCGCGTGTCCTGGACTCTCGCGCTGTGCGCTCGACTATCCGTCATTCACGGTAAGCACACGTTAAACGACACTTTAAAAAGGATATCGTTCGTTTGTTAGACGGACTTGCTCTATGAGATGAAAAGGTGTGCTTTGTGCCTTAGAATCTTATAGGGGCTAGTTGTCGCACTGAATAAAAGTTAATAACCTACCTAAACGTTTTGCATACTAAATAAGACCTTCTCCGGCAAAATAATTATAATATAATAAATGTATCTGGCTACATGTACTATGAACATATATAAATACCTGTATAATATATAGCCTATAAGATTAACCTTTCCACAATGGCATAATGCTAGTGTGTTTTCATTGTGGGGTCACTTGTTTACTCAACAGCTACTGCAAAAATCAACAAAATTCACAAATAATATTTCAGTAATGTAGATGTTTCATTTATTACTTTATTGGTGTACGTTGTTTCTGTTTAATATACTGCTGTTATTTGTAGCTATATTGGGAATATGATCCCTCAAAAAGGCAACTGGTACAGAGAGAACGTATGGCGATGGCTAGAATCATAATGACTCCATTAAAACCTTAATGGCTCCATTAATGTGATATCTGTCTGTTAAATGGGCTCAAACAGAGGGTTATTCATGCGGGCACACTATCAAACTACACACATGCAGGTTACACACACACATTGCAAAAAAAAAATAATTATAAAAAAATAATTATAAAATAAAAATAATTGGTAGACCATTTTTGCAATCTAAAACTATATAGGCCTACCACTCACTGCTTTATTCTATTATTTTTTATTGTATTGTAAAATCAGTTTTTCAAAGCAGTCCCCTGATCTTTTTTTTAGTCGTTTTTATAACTTTAATGATCATCACAGTCTGGAGTCTTTATGTTACTGAGTCATTCACATTAGTGAGTCAGAATTTCATTTGCCATCCTGTGTGTTCTGTACAGGACAACAGCGACCCCCAGTCTGAGCGCTATGAGAAACGACATAAAGATATCGATTATGACAGTTTCATCGGCCTAATGGGCAGGAGGAGCGCAGGTGAGATGATATGAATGATGAAATTAGCATTTAATAGCATTAAAAATGCACAAGATTGGGAAATAATAACAAAAAAATGTCATTATTTACTCACCTCCATGTTGTTCTGCAGATAAATATCATCAAGGTTTGAAACAATGTGAGGATGAGTATAAGACAGAATTGAGAACTATTTCTTCAAGGTCAAGGTTATTTTATGTTCATTGTTCATTTGTATTTCACAGGGACAAATCGTGACACAAATTCACCATTTAGGCGTAAGTTACAATTTTCTACATTAACATATACTTTAGGCTAATATAATACACCTATTATTAATTAAAGTAACATCAGAGCTTGATGAGATTTTTCTCTTTGGTCCTTTGTAGCTAATATGAATGACATCTTTGTTGGACTGTTAGGACGTAGAAACAGTGTCTGGTAAGTCTGTGATAGGAGATGTAAACGGTGATCAATATGTTTTAGTCAAAAGAGTAAACGGGGAATACGAAATTGCATTAAATTGAGATTAATTTATAATTAATCGTCTATATTTATGTCACTTATAGGCAAGCAAACCGATATACCACGTTTGTAACAGCTGAAATTTGCAGTGCAGAATGAGTGACAGACAGAATATAGCAGCGAATACACTGACCTCTAGTGGGCACTGTGGAGAATTCTAATAAATGAATATCCTTAAAAAACTAGCCTTGCATTGTTTGTTTGTTTTTGACTATCAGCAATTCCTGCTTGGAGAAGAGAGAGAAGAGGCAACATTTCTTAAAAGACAGAAGGCTGAGGTGAGAATTTATTTAGCTTAAGTTCAAATGAAATTCAGTTTAGCTTGAGTTCAAATGAATGGTCATTCTTTTCAGAGATTTCGGCATAATTTCATTGACTGTATTTTTTTCCATGAAGGTTTTGCTGTGGTGTATGAAGCCTGATCTCTTCTGTCCAGAACTAATTCCGAAGAAAAAATCTGTCTTTTTAAGATAACTGAGCTGTATGAGGTTTAGTTTATTGTCAGTGTTCATTGTAGTACTTTTTTTTTTAATGTAGGATAAGAATTCTTACATTTACGCCATTAAGATTTCTGAGTACAGAAAGCACCAAACTCAAATCAGATAAAGGATGGTTTGACAGATTTACTTAGATTTCAGGAATGACAATAATCCTGGGATGAAAAGACACATGAAGAATATGTAAGCCACATGTTGTAAATGTTCTTGCTCATATACCTTAATTCTAACATATGCTTATTTAAAGTGATGTAAAAATATTATTTTATTTATTTATTCATAGAATAGACAGTTTACTGTAAAATAAGTCTTTATTTAATATGCTGGTTATTATTCCTCATTGAATTATTCTTGTCACACATTTGCCTCACACACTCTTTTATAAATAAAAGACTGCTGTGGAAGTACTACAAAGGATTCCCTTTGTACATAAAAGACCCAACCGAAGAAAAAAAAATAGAATAAGAAAGGAACATGTATACCTTTGGATTAAAGACAAGGGCATGCAATGCATGAATTCAGAAATGCAGATTCACTTTAACAGGACTGGAAAGGACTGGTTTTGATGTTCGCAATATGAATGATTCTGCATAATTTCTGACAAGTTGGGTTCCCACTTCTATGGGTCTTCTTAGTCACTGCAATTTTGCAAAACACTTTGCTCAAATAATGCAATGTCTTCAAAACTCAAGAAAACTCTACTCCTCTTAAGATTTGCATGTCTTTGTCTCTGTTGAGGATCTGAAATATGCAAACTAAAGTCAACTCACAAATTAAACTTCGTAAAAGGAATGTTTACAAAGGAATTGTAGCCAAAGGGCTTTTCTAAGGAAGATAATCAAAATACTAGCAAAGTATGAGCACATTCAAACATTTCTCAGCTAACTTCTCTTTGATATAATGGAAATTTACACACACAAAAAAACACCTATTAGATCATACTTAAAGTGGGTGGCACAAACTCAAAAGTGCTTTTTCTCTTTGAATCAACAGAGCAGCACAGAATACTGCAAACATTTCCATTACTCTAGCACTTTCACAGAGATTTTCTCAGCTGTATTCACACCATCCATGTATTACTGAAGACTCATTGATAAATAAATCAATCACGTTTAGTCAAAAACCCATAACCATTCCATTAACAATTTCAAGATGTACACAGAATTTGATTAGGTACTAGAATAAGTATAATTTTACTACTAATAATAATATGTCACAACATCTGTATGAATTTGTATTTGCTTTTTAGATTGAATCACTTCAAAACCATTCAGTTCTATAAATGCAAAAGTGGCATTATGCTTGGAGTGGTCAAATGACAACAGTGGTTTATATTAAAATAAAACTAAATTCCAGTTCAAACAAGTTTATTCATTCAAATAAACTTTATTTGAAATCCGTCATAATTGTGCCAAGTGTCATACTATATAGTGCGCAGTCAAAATGCTTGCAAGTGCTGGAAAGAAGATACTCTGATGGACAGTGAGCACTGCCTGCACTTCTGCCTCTGCTGTAACTCCCAGCATGATCTCAAATCCTACCATACTAGAATAAAAAAGTGATTCTGAATAATACACATTAAGTGCGCATTATTTTAAAAAGGTCATTTCTGAAAACCTACCAACGCCAGCACATTTAAAGGGACAGTTCAACCAAAAAAAGTAAACCTTTACTTGTTTCACAGAAGAAATGATGTCAGGTTTGGAATGACATGAGGGTGAGTTAATGATGACAGTTTTCTTTTTTGAGTGCACTACCCCTTTAAGTACAGCAAATACACACAAATAATTGAGCAACTGAGACAAAAAGCACACATCATAAGCGACTGAATCAATTGCACAACTCTGGACAAGTGGCTACATCAATTGCAAAATCAACACCTACTTGGTTTAATCTTGCACAGAATGCTGTAGAAGTTGCCACACTGGCGATGTGAACTGAAGCAAAACCTGACATTCAATTCTAGATAAACAAAAACCTTAACAGTCACACTCCAGTCAATTAAATGACTTGAATGACAAAAAAAAGCATTATGTGGTCTGAAAAATCCAATAATTCACAAGCCACTTTGCTTCACAGCACGTTTCACTATGCCACTCATCTACAAACCGCAATTCCCATTAGAATGGGGGGAAAAAAAATCTACCTTGCTACCTTTACTTCTTTCCCAGGCACTCTATTGGGCCAGCTAACAGGATCTTACTAATCCGTATTCCTGCAACTTTCTTAATGGGGTAGTTCAGACAAAAATTAAAATTTTGTCATCTTCTACTCATGTTTTTTCAATCCTGTATGAATTTCTTTTTTCTGTTTAACACAAAAGAATATATTTTGAAGAATGTGTGCAACCAATTACTAGTAGCCATTGACTTCCATAGTATTTATTTTCCATACTTTGTAAGTCAATGGCTACCAGCAACTGTTTGGTTACCCGCATTCTTCAAAATATATTTTTGGTGCTCAACAGAAGAAAGAAAATCATACAAGTTTGGAAGTTTTTTTCAATCCTGTATGAATTTCTTTTTTCTGTTTAACACAAAAGAAGATATTTTGAAGAATGTGTGCAACCAATTACTAGTAGCCATTGACTTCCATAGTATTTATTTTCCATACTTTGTAAGTCAATGGCTACCAGCAACTGTTTGGTTACCCGCATTCTTCAAAATATATTTTTGGTGCTCAACAGAAGAAAGAAAATCATACAAGTTTGGAACAACTTGAGGATGAGTAAATTATGACAATTTTAATTTTTGGTTGAACTATCCCTTTAACTCTCAGAGAAGGGTAATATGCTGTTTTGGTGTCATTTGAAGGACTACATCCTGGTTCATTTTTCTATGGATGTAATCTTAGTCAAAGTAAACTGTACACGTTCAACTTTGGCAAAGGTACTGCAGACTGTGTAGAGAAAACACAGCTGGAGCTTGAATGTTTGCTCAACTAGGATCTACGATATAAGCAGCTCGGTTTAATTATTGCCTAAACTCAATACAAATGTGGTCCAGGGATATATGGAAGTGGATGATTTTTCTGGATCAGAGCAGAGGCACTAATTCAACGAAATGAGCAAATTAAAGGAAAATCAAGGCCTCTTTTACTTATGGCACTGCCGTTAAATCATACATGGTGGTGTGTTTATGATTACGCAGTGCAGAGCAAACACGCAATTGCTATTTTTATATATATAGGAAAAAAAATAGAACTGAATGCCAAGTATAATGTATGCAGATGCAGCCTTGCTTGTGGCCCCAAAATATTATCCAATGTTATTATACTGTTAAGGCAGACTCCTACACTCATAACCTTCATTTCATACAATTCTGCACTGTCATATATATTTAAACATTGACATACAAATGCATTATTGAGAAGAACAGACTCTCAAACTGTAGCAGTTCATTAAATCACACAAACATGTCATGCACACATTTCTGTGGCACAATATAGAAGACATTATCCAAAAAATGTAAAGCCACCCCAAAAACAGTTCTTTTGGAAGAAGATTTTAAATGTTATTTTTAAAAATTCCTATGTAAAAAGCTGCTATAACTTTTCATTAAGTTGGGGGGATTTCTTTTCTCCTTCCTGTTGTTCTACCCCCAGCTTTTCCTCTATGTCTCCAGTTTCCACTTTGTCTGGTGCTGGGGCATTGAACTCTTGTATGACATTGGGTTCAGGGGGCTGATATCGGTATTTGTAGCCAAAGGCACGCAAGTGGTAAGTGTAGTATTCCAGCAGGTACATGTGTGACGGATCCACATAGTGGAAAGAAACGGCCAGGTCTGAGCAACACTGTGGGCCCTGAGAGAAACAGAGAGAAAGATTATATAATTATATGAATAAGAATGAAGAAAGATCCTGCAATTGCGTACTCGCCATGTTGTTCCAAACCCACAGGTCTTACTTTTCGTTTTAAAGGGGTCATATGATGCTGCTAAAAAGAACATTATTTTGTGTATTTGGTGTAATGAAATGTGTTTATGTGGTTTAAGGTTCAAAAACACATTATTTTCCACATACTGTACATTATTGTTTCTCCTCTATGCCCCACCCTTCTGAAACGATTTTTACAAAGCTCATCGGTCTGAAAAAGCGAGGTGTGCTCTGATTGGCCAGCTATCCAGTGCGTTGTGATTGGCCGAATTCCTCAAGCGTGTGACGGAAATGTTACGTCCCTTACCATATTGTGATGCCCAAGAGCTTGTAACACTCCAAAGAGAAAGGAAAAAATTGAATTCGCATCATATGACCCCTTTAATAATTTACTGATCACTCTTTTTTAGGCAGTTCCAATGAAAGCGGACTGCATCTTTTAATATTAATTAAAAGCACCATAAAGTTATAATATATCATATAGACTGATTATAATACATCGAATCACACTGAATTGGTTTTGGCTCAAGGATACAGTCGCAACAGTTAACAGCTAACAGGAAGATTTTTAGTGAAAAATTACATATTTAAATCAGTTCCTGACTCCAACTCAGAAGACTTGGAATATAAATCACCATTCAAATCAACTAATCTTTTTGTGTTCCAGAGGAAAAAAAAATCCTACAGGTTTGAATGTTTAAATTTCAAAACAAGGATTAGTATTGCAAATAATGACAGAAGTTTCTCTATTTTTTAAAACTCTTAGCTATAACCTAGTCTTTTTTTTTTATATCACCAGGCAACAGTGCTCAAAGTAACTGGTGCCTACACTGATGCACTGAGTAGAATTTGATTTGTGTCAAAACAAACTTGTGCTCACTTGGGCCAGTGACACAGGGATTAATGGCTTTTGACTTGAAGAGCGCATAGTCAATGTTCTTGTGTGTCATTTATTTGAATAGGATATAAAGGGCGAGATTCACATCTTCAGGGTGCACTAAATGCAAACGCAGACAGAGTGAAACTGATTTTCACCTTTGCAAATACGCAAATATCTTGACTGTCTACACATGTAGCATCAGTGTTTCCCATACATTGATTTATTTGTGGCGGCCTGCCACAGTATCAACACTGACCGCCAAAAATAGATTTTCCAAATGGCTTTGACTTCGTTGAATAAACATGAGCACTGCACGTTTCAAAATCAAAATGCCGCACGGGTGTTTTTATATAAATGTATCTTTTTTTGAAGGGAACCGATTGTCTTCAGTAAAATTTTGATGTCATTTTCATTTAATCTTTCCTATAATGCCTGATAAGGAAGCTTTATGAGCACAGCTCTGCTTTGATTACAGCCGTTACCGGGGAAACCGCTATTTCTGCCGCTCCAAAAGTGCCTCCTCCTGGCAGAGAATGAATTTGCACTTTCAATAAGCCCATCTGTCGTTTTATATTTACATTATATACATATATATTTCCCCCAGGGGAAGTGCCGCCACAAATAGAGTGTAAGTCTATGGGAAGCACTGTAGCATTCTTAACAGATTATTGAAAAAGAAAAAAAATGTAGGGCGGGGACTTGGTTCAATACATCAGTTGTTGAATGGATGAAGGCAGATCTGAATACAAAATTATAGCTGATTGTAAAAAGGGGTGGGGATTAAGCTGGCAAAATGCTTGGAGAAGTCCAGCACAGGTCACCAGAGAGAAGCCTTGTCATTTCACTGGAAGATCAAGTTCTGATAATTTAATTAGAAATAAAAATTAGGCAAAAACCGTATGCATGGATAAACTGAGATACACTACACTCCAAACAAAAAAAACAAAAATATCGATGATGGAGGTTTTGTAGCCTATGATGCTAACTGAATTCGGACTCACCTGCACAATGGGGTAATAACAGTAGTTCCAATACCAGAAGGTCTTAGAAACTGTGCCAGTGAGATGGGACTCTGGTACGAAAGGATGGAATGTCTCTCTTTGTAAGGTGTCTCTGGAGTCTCCTGCCACAACGCCAACCTTCTCCATACACTGACCTAGAGCTAGGTCCTCCACTGAGCTAGTGTGAGTGCACACTTTGGTGCGAAAGCCTTCCACAAACCTCCTCAGGGCCTCTTTGCTTAACACATAACCTGCGCCACCACTCATGTAGCCCTGTTTTACGTATGGCTTAAACCGTCTGCCAAAATACACCGGGTCCTCTGGAGAGTGGCTGGCCAGAATCCAGCGCAGGTTGTCGACGATCACGTAAGTGTCGTCATCCGCTTTGAGAAACCAGTCTGCCTCGTCCCCGTGCTTGTCCATGACATAGTGGAAAGCACGAATGGTTTTCCAGTACAGCTGATCCCGACCTTCCTTGGTGTTTAAGCCGACCGTGGGAAAATCAGGGTCGTCCACAGAGCTTATGAAGACCACAATGTTGCAGTGGCGACTCCATGTGGCTTTCACATGCCGAGCTTTCTTTTCAAGGTTATTAGGGCCGGTCATGACCCAACACAAAATGCGTACATGCTTATAGAGAGTGTCAGCCAGTGTGCCATCCTCACCTACAAGAGACAAACCGTGATTATTCTGAAAAATAATTGATATAGACCAAAAATCACATGCTACCATTTAGACAAGAATATTTTGAATGTGCATAATCGTAGTGAACTTTTTTTTTTATGAGAATAAGCATTTATTTATCAAACTGCAGAAACTTTTAAAGTGATAGTTCACTCAAAAATGAAAATGCTCTCATCATTTTGTCAACCTAATGTCATTCCAAAGCCATAAGACTTTGGTTCATCTTTTGGAACACAAATGAAGTTTTTTTTTTTTTTTTTTAATTTTTTTTTTTTTTTTTTTTTTTCTAAGTGGGAGTTTGCTGGGAGTCTTTATAACATTCTTTAAGAATGATTTCCTTTATTAG